TCACCAGATACCAAGATTACTTATCCTTCCTTCTATATCGGTCTATAAAATCCCGTGCCTCTTTCTCCTACACCTCTATCAAATATTTTAATTCCCTTCCTGATTCAATAAAATCCTCCCTCTCTATCGTCTTTTCATTCCGTTGCCTCGCGTTTCATCGCGTCACTTGCAGTATTTAAATGAGACTGATGTAATTGGTGTGCTTGCAAATATATGCGCGTATTCATGTGAGTGAATGTATGTATGTATGTATATATATGATTTCAGCTATTAATTTACCTCTTATTGCATTGTTGTCTTATTCTGGTTTTGTTACTGGTAACAGCAATTTGCTGATGTCTAACCTTTGCAAGCTACTATTGTCTATTGTATTTATGTTTATATTAACTGTAGTCTATTGTGTGTTATACTTTATGTCTATTATTCTGTTAACATGTAATCTTTTTCATATAGCTTTGCAATAAACTAAATTAAATTAAATTAAATTAAATTAAAACTAGGATTTCATTATGTATGTATTAATGTAAATAAATTATTGTTATAATTTATAAAGTTTCGCAAATAACATCCAACGCGGCTCAAATAGCCTGATAATTTACAATTATTGAACTGATATTATTAAAAGCATTATTAATATTATAGTTTAATTTATAGTAGGATTCAAATTGCGTCCATATACATACATGAATTTTTCAAATTAGAAATTGTTACAGAGCGTATACAGTAGATTTACTAAACGATTTTAAGAAACTTTTGAAAATTGAGATTTTATTACGTATGTATTAATATTAATAAATTATTATTATAATTAATAAAGTTTCGCAAATAACATCCAGCGCGGTTCGAATTGCCTGATAATTCACAATTATTGAATTAAATTTTTTTTGTATATAATATGTTTTCTATTATTTTTAATATTATGCTAAGGATGAATTTGAACCAAAACGTACGTTTATTTGTTAGACAGTTTAATTGTGTTCGAGATACAGTTAACACGGACAGATTTGCAGATTTGGCGTGCGTGCGACATGCGGATCGGAAGCTTCTAGAAGGATCCCAAGCGTCCTTAGAGATTTCCAAAATATAAACTCGGCCATCATCTCGTCGATAAAGTCGAAAAATAATCTTTCACATTTAAGTTAAAATATCTCAAAATAAACAATAAGCTAAGCCGCACGTCGCACGTACGCAGATCTCAACCGCTATAATAGCGAACCAACTCAGATCGGTCGCAGCGCACGCGCGATCGCATGACGCAAAACGCGTAATATGCGTACATCCCAATCAAGAATCCAGATTTAGTGGGCGCGCATGGTAACCAAGAATCCAGATTTAGCGGCGCATGGCGTACCGCTTGGCCGCGCTCGAAATTGCCAATCACCGCCCGAAACAGAGGATCACCTCAAAATTTTCAATTTTGCGAGAATCTTATAGGTGAATGCAAAGGGAAGCCTTTGTTCTTAAAAGAGCATAAAAGGCAAAACCGAGAAGCAATGACTCTCTTATTCTTCGCTGTTCTCGAGTCAACGCTTCGCTACAAGTGCAACCGCCTAGAAGACGCTCCGCCGCCAGAAAACCGCGTTCGATTCGCAATTGATAATTCGCGTAAAGCGAAATTCAGCTGAAACGCCGTATCACTCAAATTTTTCTCACTATCGCTCTCGCTCTCGAACAAATTGTAAGAGGAGAATTAAAATTCTTTTCAAAATAATATGTTTGCTCATTATCTTCCGCACTGATTCTTAAAGTTTTTTATACTTTTTAATTAATTGTTTAATTTTGAGGAATCCGTTAGTTGATTTTATAATTTTTTAATGTTGTCTATTTACTCTATCTCAGCAATAAAAAGTCTGAACATATCAATCGAATATGCGTTCGAAAAGATAAGAATAACATTTTAATGTGACATCTACCTGAAAAAAAAATTATTAAACATTTTGTAAATCATTGAAAATAGTCAAGTACATAATTTCTTTCACATTTAAGTTAAAATATCTCAAAAATTTGAAGTGATATAATTTCGCAATTATATTTGCAACCAGCCCTTCAAAATCTATCAAAAATAATTTCGTCACATTTAAGCACAAAATGATGTCAACCAGTGTTACATATTTGTTTGCTTTTATATTATTAATAATTAATAGTATATTATATTGATTAATTAAATCAATATAAATGAAGTTGTAAAATATATGCTTCATTTATTTTGAGATGCCACAAATAAATTGCAAACATAATTTACAATATGACGCAATATATTTTATTATTCCATAAATCTTTATAATTATTATTTAATAATTTTTTAAAATTGTTTAATAATGTGAGAATATTGAAAATTAAATTTAAAAAAAATACGCGATTGGTATATTTTGAGGACATATGATAATAAATTAATACTAGATATATAATGAAGTATTTTTAGTTTTTATGCAGTATATATATATATACCTATATATGTACCTTTATTAATTATTTTTAATGTAGTAAGTTTAACTTTTTGTTTTCCTTAAAATGTACCAAATGCAAAACTGTATTTAAATGTATTTGGTCTGTTTTGAGGACATTCATTCGGATTTGATGTTCTCAAATGTTATCCATAAAACTATAATATAATTTCGAGGATAGTAAGTCCCCAAAATGTATCATATACATAAAAAATAATAAGGACTATCTCCAAAAATATGAAATGTCCTCAAAGTATACCATATGTGACAAAAAAATGTCTTCGAAATATACCAAAGTCAATTGACGACACAACTTCATTGCTTTTCTGTGATTGCAATTCGACAGCCAATGATTTTATGCTAATACTCTAAATCGGTAGCTACTGAGTTATCGCGAATTCTTTCTTGACTTAAGTTGCAAGTCAGACATGAGTGAGCGTGCTCTTTATTATTGCTCTAAATCTCGACTAATTATGCTCAATATTTCTTTAATGCGGCAATCGACTGCTCAGCTCCGCATGGAGCGGGAATGGGTTATTCGGAGCAGGAGTGAATCGGAAGGCGAACAAATAAGAACTACTTTCTTTTAATAATAGAAAAATGACAAACATATATTTGATATTCGCAAGAAGTACGAACAAGCGTCTACTCAAGTACGCAATTCAAGTATGTGATAATAATTCGGCGCGAATATGAGTTCGTTATAAGCCGAAATTATCGAGTCGCGTAGCATAAAATAATAAAAGGAACGTGAACAGGTGATTATCGCGGGATTATCCCAAATTCACCAGTCGATCAAGATTTACAGCAACAATCGCGGCTTTTCGCCAGATGTCGTACAATGATTTTCTCTACTCTACATGAAGTGCAACTCAAACGGAGGCGTACAATGCAAAATGATGAGTTAACATAAATCACACTAAGCGAGACGCAGCGACTTTACTATGGCGAAAGGGCGGCAAGCTTTACGCGCATGGAATACAATAATCTATGTAATTCGTGCAAACAGCAAGCCACAATTAGATGATTAATTATTCACGGTATAGTTCCCTGTACGGGCCTTAGCCCTTCAGTTCGAATTCGGCACGTAATATTCGCTCGAGATCACATTGTCGAGAATCGGTGGCTTTACAGAATTACTACGCTTGTCTCCTTCCGCTCGGCCTTTCCGTTAGCTCCCTTCAGCTCGACTCACTCTGAGGATCGGTAACGCTACTCGCTGATGCTCGCTTCACCGTGGATCGTGCGTCCTTCTTACAATCTATTTCCGGCCCGTGCCACAACGCAAGTGATTTCGGTAGGCCCCGACGGGGGATGCACAGGCCACGCTGCTTATCGACAGGTCTCCCCGCGTCTAATTGGCTGATAACGACGCCGCGCGATCCCGCAAATCGCGTAGACAGCGACGTAGTTTCCTGCGACTTGGTACGGGATTTGAATTTCGCCAGAGTAGTTTTCTCGCCCGGGACTCTTCTCTTGTCTCTCATGGAACTTTTCCTGCTTTAGGCCATTCCTTTGGTTCGAGCCCGAGTCCGCTATGGTCTTTTCGATGTTCTAGCTGGTTATCTTCTTGAGAAACTACCTCATTCTAACGTCTCCGCATTCTCCGTTTTTTTCTGTAAAACAGAAACGGTACTAGAAGGACGCAAATAACAAATGCAAACAGTAAGTTAAAAAGAGCGATACAACCTGCGCGGCCCCATCATTGGGACGGAGCCTCATAATCCGGAGCCTCCTCGGTGACGGTCCTCTTCGGCAGTTTTCTTTGGCGATCCCCTTCTCTGCTGGCAAGCTTCGACACAATTAATTCGCACACAGCTACGATTCTGGCAACGATTCTCGCAGAAAAACAATGCAAAAAATTCAGTATGAAAAATAAATTAAAGTAAATTTAAGATGGCGTATGAACTGTAGTGCTCGCACGCTTGTTGCCCGTCCTCACGAGCTGGGAAGATCCATTTGGCTAATCTGCGACATAGTAACGGATGAAAAATATCACAATATATATAGGAAAAGAAGAATTATATATAAGGATAGACGATAGTGTCTCGGCACTAAGCAAGCACAGCGACACTACTGTGTACTTGTTATGTTTTTAATTTTTCTTTTATACACACACACACACACACACACACACACACACACACAAAAGAAAAATTAAATAGGTAATAAGAAAAATTGAAAAGGAAATTTTTACATTATTTCTTTATAGAAAAATAAAGTTTGAGAAAATGAGAAAGGATGGCAGAATGTTGTGTTTAATTGCAATTTTTCTTATTAAAGAAATCATACTACATTGTTTAAGAAATATTTATAAATTATTACTTATAAATTATATGTTTAGTTTAAGTCTAGCTTAAAAGTTAAATTTCAAGTTTACATTATTTTTGTAATAACTATTAGTTATAAAGGACAAATATTTTGAAAGAAACGCGCATCTTGAACATGCCTCGATTCTCGTGCAAATGGCTAGGCGTTTATGATGTCGTGTGTACATCTCGGATCTTTTCATTTTTGACAAGAAACAATCAAAACTTAACATTTTTTATTGTTTAGGTGGATGATACATGAGAAACCATCAGGAAAAGATTTTTACAACTGGACAAATCGATGTTTAAGCGCTGGATCACCCTATAATCCATATAAGGTACTGAAATTATCTGAAATGTTCCAATTCGTACATTTGAAAAATTAAATATTAAATATGTATATTTAATGTTTAATATGTATCTTTATCAAAAGCGCTAATAGAGCAAACAAATTAATTTAATTATTGTCATTAAATATAAGCACTCCATAATTTTTTAATAAGATAATTCTTTACAATGTAATTATTTTATTGAAAATTTTTTGATATTTATCTCTAAACATATTTCAATAAACAATTGATTTATTAATTTGATTTATTAAGACAGTAATGTGAGTATAACAAGTAAGAATATTAAAGTCTATAATGGTTTAAGTTGGATTTTTAATACTTTAAATAATTTAATGTGAATTATATATGTACTATATATTGTGACAATTTTCCATCACTGTTCTATTTAAGATCTTTTGCAAGATCCTTGTCATGGTCCTGAGTGACCTCCGATAGATTCTAAGTGGCGGTCGTTAAAAAGTTATTAGCAATAAAAGTTCAATTATATAACACATTTATATGATATTCATATGACAATTATATAACATTTATGACAAGTATATAACAATTATATGAGATATTATACATATTTATTTACTTTCCTCCCCCTGCAAAAGGGCGCACGACTCTCACCTTTGACTCTCACCCTTATACAGTACACGAATAGCAAACATATTTTAAAGCAGGTAATACTCGTGTTATAGTTGTATACTATTAAACTTTCCGACAGGTTGGCAGTCGTCCTTCGTATAAAAATTATTAACGAAAAAAGTTTTAAAAATGTTTTATTCCTACTACATTTTTCAGAAATACTTAGAAATATTCGGAAAGTTTAATGATATATAATAACCTAACCCTAACCTAATTATGGTACACGGGTTAAGTTAGGTTACTACATATATACTTATAATACAACTATATAACATGAATATTTCCTGCTTTAAAATATGTTTGCTATACGTATATTGTTGAGAAGTGAGAGTTGAAAGTGAGAGTCGTGCGCCCCTTTACAGATGGGAAAAGGAGGTGAGAGTTCGGATAAAAAACGTAGTAGAAATAAAACATTATTTTTAAAACTTTTTTGTTAATAACTTTTTAACAAAGGACAACCGCCACCTAAAACCTGTCAGAGATCACTCAGGGTCATGATCTTGACAACATATATCAAGGTCAAGGTTATTGGCGGAATGTCCCTTAATCTGAATAATTACCAAATTAACGAAAGAATGGTACGCTCTCTCGTGCTTGGTTCAACTTATTTGAGAAAAGATTCTGATATTTTGCGAAAATTCTGTCTGGTTGCTTAGCAACAAGGAAAAGACCCCGTACTAATCATATATGAAATTGAGTGAAATCAAATGGTTTTCTCATATGTTATAGCATGTCCTGTTAAACAAAACATATAAGTAAAGATTATGCGTTTCGCATGGGTTTCCTCCGTGTTCAGATCTATTCTTGGAATGCCAACACTTGTAGTCCACTTCATCAAGACGAGCAGCCTGATACTGAGCTGTTTCTCTGGGTCATTCCTTTTTATATTATACTACTTGTTGGAGTGGTGGGGAGAAAAAAGAAAATTTGTGAGTGGGAAGAAAAGGGAGGGAATCGGTCAGTCTTCAATAACCGGGAGAATGGTTTTTCATATTTTATTTATGTTGTAGTCATTATCTCTATTTAGATTGTAAGAGTGTTTTGTATAATATTTTTATGGCTTCTTTACACTTTCTTGGAAAGTGATGTAATGGCTATTGTGGTCGTTTTGTCAAACAGTATTTGATGTCCTGTTTCGATGTTATGTTCTGATAATGTTGATTGCGTGACATGTTTTAGCCTGACATCACGTTGGTGCTCTTTTATCCGTAGATTGTCCATTCTCCCAGTTTCTCCAATGTATACTTGCTCGCACGAACAAGGTATTTTGTATACTCCTGCGGAGCTAAGTGGAGGTCTTTGATCTTTAGGATTTCTTAGGATTTGTCTTATCTTTTGGGTGGTTTAAAGATAATTTGAATATTGTGTTTGTTTAATATCCTGTCAATCCGATCTGTTGTTCCTTTGACATATGGGAGAATGGATAAGCTCCTTTCGTCTGATTGTATGTCAGAGACTGTTGTCTTGTTTGTATAATATGTTTATTGATTGTTTTGATTATGTCTTTCTTGTCGTGTCCGTTTTTCTGTAAGGCTAATTTTAAATGATTGAGTTCCGTCTATAGATGTTCTTTGTCAGAGATGGTGAAAGCTCTATGTACAAGTGAATTGATTGCAGACTCTTTTTGTGCTGGGTGGTGATGCGACTCGGCATGTATCTGTGTGTGTTGGCTTTCTGTACACTTGAGCCTAAGGTACCGTCAGTTTTCTTAGAGACAAGAACATCTAGGAGTTTTTCTCTATGTCTATAGTGAAGTGGATATTTGGATGTTAATTGTTGAGGAAAGTAAGGAATTTACGGAGTTTGGCTGTGCTGTGTCTCCATACGAATGTGTCATCTATATAACGGAACCAAACTTCTAGTTTTTTGAATATTTTTCTGAGACTTCTTTCTCAAAATGCTCCATGAAGATGTTGGCGATTACAAGAGAAATAGGAGAGCTCATTGCCGTGATGTCAAGCTGAAACACGTAATCAGCATTATCAGAACACAGCATCGAAACAGAACATCAAATACTATTTGACAAAACGACAATAGTTAACATTACATCATACTTTTCAAGAAAGTATAAAGAAGCCATAGAGATACAAAAACACTCTAACAATCTAAATAGAGATAATGGCTACAACATAAATAAAATATGGAAAACCATTCTCTCGTTATTGAAGACTGACCGATTTCTGCCACTTCCCCCCCCCCACCCACAATTCTCTTATTTCCCCTTATCACTCCAAGTAGCGTAATATAAAAAGGAATGACATGGATGAACAGCTCAGTATCAGGCTGCTCTTCACCCTAATGAAGTGGACTGCAAGGTTCACGAAACATTGGCATTCCAAGAATCTGGACACGGAGGAAATCCGCGAAACGCATAATCTTTATATAGAAAGCATCTGTGGAAATCTTAAGAATATTAAAACATATAAGTTTTAGCGCAAAAAAATGAACAGTTTTCGTGCTCAAATCTTCTACAGTCACTGACATCTCACCATATAATATTCAATAACTTCTAAACAGCTGATCTAAAATGGATATAATTATAGTGTTTTGAAAAACACTAACTTAACAAGGATTATAAGAAAATAAAAGAAAAAGTGGGGGGGTCACAATTAAAAAATTTAAGTTGATTTTGCTCTACCTTGGCAATGCCACTCAAAATCAAACTGATGCAGCCAACAGCTAGGCCTTTTTAGACTCTATAACTTTTATCTAAAATATTTTCTTTATAAAAAAAACTTGTAGTTTTTCAGATATTTCACCTTTTTCGAACATTTTGTGTTCCTTATAAGATTATATATGTTGCCACATATAATTATATCCCATATATTATATAATTACATATTATCATATGTAATGTCCAAACTATGTACATGTATAAAACGATACTTTGTTACAAAATATGTAGTGTAATTCCTTACTCTTAGCGTAAACCAGGACCAATGACATGGACATAGGAGATCCCGTGCGTGCGTGCGTGTGTGTGTGTGTGTGTGTGTGTGTGTGTAAGCGTGCGTGCGTGCGTGCGTGCGTGCGTGCGTGCGTGCGTGCGTGCGTGCGTGCGTGCGGGCGCGCGTGCGTGCACGTGTGCGGGGGGGTGGGGGGGCGTGCGTGCGTGTGTGTGTGTGTGTGTGTGTGTGTGTGGATGGCGCGTGCGTGCGTGCGTGTATGTTCATGCAATATGCTATTATATTACTTAATAAAAAATTGTTTTTTAATTATTTATTAAGTTATTCTCATCATTCAGATTCTGGGAATTACACTTCTGTAATAAAGTATCGTTTCATAGATATGTACATATCTTGGACATTTTTTACAAAGGCAAATCAATAAGTATCCGTGTTAGTAATGAAGACGCAAGTTTTTCACAAAAATTTTTTTTATTTTTCAACGTAATCCCTTTTTAGGAGGATACACTTTTCCCAACGCTTCTATCATTTTTTTAACCCCTCAGAAAAATATGATTTATCGAACTCTGCAAAATAGGCCTTTGTTTCGACGATGACCTCCTCATTCGACGTGAATTTCTTTCCACCGAGCCATTTTTTCAAGTTTGGAAACAAGAAGAAGTCACAGAGAGCTAAATCCGGAGAGTACGGTGGATGCGGCAGCAATTTGTAGCGCAATTCGACCAATTTGGCTGTGACGACTGCGGAGGAGTGAGCCGGTGTATTGTCCTGATCGCGGCACTCATTGGGCCGATAGCTTTTTTATTCCTAAGTTATCATGCAAAATATTGAATGCCATTCCGTACGACACGCCTTCATGCACTTGCGACCTTTGCTACTTTATGCACTTTTGTTCGGCGATCAGCAAGAATCATATCGTGGACTTTTTCAACGATTTCCTCAGTAATCACGTCTGCCGGACGGCCTGGGCGCTCCTCATCAAAAACAGACGAACGACCACGTTTGAATTCGTTGAACCAATATTTGACGGTGAAGAATTCTCATAGACGGCATCCAACTTCGTTTTTATTTCTTCGCACGTTTTTCCATCCAAAAATAACAAATCACGGATCGATATTGCTCTTTTTCCATTGTATCGGAAAACATCAAACACGCTCACTACGAATTGCTGTCAAATCAAGACTATTGCATGAATCACTCTGAAATTTTGTATGGCGTCGTTTGAATGATGGTAGTACACAATGGTAATGCCAACTTGCATCAGCAACGTCGCCTGTCTTGAAACACGGGTACTTATTGATTTGTCCTCGTATATATGATAATATGCAATATATAGATTATATTCGTGGGACATAATTATATGTGGCAGCATATATAATTATATAAGGAATATAAAATGTTACGAGACGGCAAAATATCTGAAAAATTATAAATTTTATAAAAAAAATATTTTAAATGAAAATAGAGTTTAAAAAGGCCTAGTCGCTGACTTCATCAGTTTGACTTTTGTTTAAAATTTCGTTAGATTATTTCAGAGAGACTCTAGATTGAGCGACATATCGTATTGTTTCGACCTTCGAGCGATCGTGACATCGAAATATGTATTTCTGCGTACGAATGTTCGAAAATAAGTAAGAAAACTGTACGATTGAATTTATTGTTATTTCGCTGCTCCGCTGTTTAAAAAAATAATAGCGATTATCGGAAATCGATGTGAATCCGCGAGCTTTCCAATTCGCGTACGTGATCACGCAGTTTAAATGCGGAAAGCAATGAGCGAGGACGCGAGGCGATCCATTGTATTGTCACAAATCGGCTAATAAATAAATAATTTTGTCACTCTATCGGGAGATTGAAGGCTCTCGAACCGGTAACTACTTTGGGTGGCATCGCCAAGACAGGGTAAAATTAATTCGAATTTTTAAAATGAGATCCTCCACTTTTTAAAAATATATAATACAATATATTAAAATTAATAAAGTAATACTCCTTATAGTTTCAAATAAAAAATTAACTTCACCATTTACAATGATGACGCCTTATTACTTTCATTTTTTTTTATTTTCTTATTTCTTGTTGAAACCTTATCAAAACACTGTAATTTCATTTATTTAAAAAAAAAAATCTTAAATCAATTATTTAGAAGTTAATGAGTATTTTATAGTGAAATGTCAGCAATTGTAGATGAATCGAATACGAAAACTGTTCATTTTTTTGTGTTAAAACTTATATATTTTCAATAACAATATAACGATAAACGGGCAAATAAGCATCTTCCATGTAACAGTTATCAAGATCGCTACATAAATTGGGACACATTACATCATGTTTTTTTATCTCTTTGATGATGATAACTAATGTAAAGCGAGAAGAAGATAATATCTGGAGGATAATATATGACTCAATATAAGAGCTGAAACATGTAATAATATTTCTAGTTTCTGTTATGTATATATTTAACTCTTATTATTAATTGAATTCATAAAACACATTGAAAATAATTGGTTGTCCTAAAAATATCATCAACTTTGTTAGAAATAATTCTTTCCCAATACTCAACAAATTCCATAACAATTTTCCTTCTCCTACTTTTAGTCTGACAAACAGATTTTAGAGTGGCTATATGTAACAAAAAGATTTATTAATAACTATTCTAATATACTTATCACAAACGCTGATAAGTGTTACTGTTGCTCTAGACAAGGACGCCTACGTATGGAAAATGGAGGAGATTCTTTCAGACACTAACACTTACACAATCATTAATAAGAATCCGAGTAAGAAATTGACTCAGGATTTACATACTTTGTTGGTGAGATGGAAGCGGGATCGGTTTATTGACGAACAAACATATCGTAGATTGCTTACAACTGATGGTGTTATACCTAAAGCTTACGGTTTAACCAAAATACATAAGGATGGTAACCCATTGAGAGTGATTGTGTCATCTGTTAACAGTCCATTATATTATCTTTCTTTTTTTTTTGCATAATTTAATTAATGATAGTATACCAAAAGCTCCTAGTTACATTAAAGACAATTTCCATTTTATTGAGCATTTAATGGTACTGTTTTTGAATATGTTTTGACTTCGTTAGATGTAGTATTCCTTTTTACTAATATTCCTGTTGAGCTAACATTAAATAGCACTGATAGGAGATGGATTTACATCTCAGCGAAGACAAACATCTCAAATAACGAGTTTATTATCACAGTCAGATTTATTTTAGATTCAACCTTTTTTGCTTTTAATAACAGAACTTATAAACAGGTATTCAGCACTCCGATGGGTTGACCGTTATCTTC